GGGGAGGGGGAGCCCTGTGTCCGGCTCTGCTGCTGCTGGGGCTTGGTTTCGGGGAGGGTGACACGCTGCCAGCGGTCCCTCCTCTTCCCATCGCATTCCCTCCTTCCTCGAGGTCAGATCCCAGTCCCACCTGCTGCTGCGCCTCCCAGATCCTGCATGTAGTGCCCTTGGCCTGACCTTGGCCTGAGCGCACCACTCCCCTGGAGCCTAGCTGGCTCCTCCCTGAGGTTGAGCAGGGCCCTGGGGGGGCAGTTCCTCTCTGGCTGTGCAGGGCTCAGGGCCCGCAGGCTCTGGGCCTGGCACTTCTTGGGCCTGGAGCTGCCCCGGTCTGGCCACAGACTCTGGGCTCAGGGAGGGCAGCCCGCATTCTTGCACCCTTTCCAGCTCTTTCAAGTCTAGAAAGGAGGCAGCTCGGACGGCAGTTCCCTGACCACCTGGGGCTGGATAGTGGCCTTGGGTGGAGATCTGGCCAGCCTTGGTACGCTCAGGAAATGTCTACACTGGCACAGCCACAGACCTGCACTCAGCCGCCCTCGGGGTCTCTTGGGGCTAGAGGGATTCGTCAGAGGGTCCCAGGGTGTCCCCAGGGGGAATGACAGGCCCTCAGGCTGTGGGCCGCTGGAGACCAGCCAGCAGACAGTCCCCGACCACTCAGCCGGGAGGCAGTGAGACAGGTGAGGCGCCAGGGTCCCTGCCAGCTCCCTTTAGGGCATTGCAGAAGCTCAAGTTTCCTGGCATCACAAGGCTCCTGGTGCCTGGGAAGACGGTGCAAGACACAGATGGCAAACATGGTCTCTCTCCATCCCCATCAGCTCATGAGTGACCCTTCATGAGGGTGGCTTCTCCCAGGCTGGCCAGGCAGGCAGCTCAGGGCAAAAGAGGATCAGACCTGTGGGCCCTGTTGTCCGGGGACCCCCTCTGGCAGTGTCGAGAGCCCATCTGATGGTCCTGCCCCTCTGGCGGCAGCCTCAGGAGGCGCGGCAGCCCTCGGGTGGCCACAGACTTTCCCAGAAGCCTTCACGCAGGCTCGGCACAGGTCCCTAAGCCTGGCTGCTGTGCTCGGTCTATTCCTTACCTTTGAGTCCCAGAACACCTGCCACACACTTTTGTTCCCTTCCCACTGGTTTTCTGACTCTGAAGATGGGAACAGTCCATCTTTCTGGAAAAATAAGGGCCTCCCATCCAGAGGCTACGTCAAGAGGCGAATCAGCTGAGCTGAGGTTTCCCGAGCATGAGGGTCCAAGGGGTGGCTCTTGTTGGAATTGATCCTGCTCTCGTGGGCGGGCAAGCTCGCGTCTGACTGTGGGAACCTGCGGTCACACGGTGGAGCAGAGGTCCCCTTCGCTACGTATTACAGCTCTGAAATGAAAGTCAAAATAGAGCTATTTCCTCACGTATTTGTAACTGCAGGTTTCCAATACAAACTTGCATTTGAAATGTAAGTTAAGGAGACGTCTTCCCTGTTGTGTTGGTTTCCTGTGGCTGCTGTAACAGCTGCCGCAAAATCTGTGGCTTCAAACAACACACGCTTCTTCCCTATGAGCTCTGGAGCTCAGGTCGAGGTGTGGGCGGGCCTGTCCCTCCTGGAGGCTTCAGGGAGACCCCATGTCCCCCTCTCCAGTGCCAAGAGGTACCTGCACACTGGGTTCGGGGCCACGTCCCTCCAGGCTGTCTCTGGTCTCAGCACCTTCCTCCTTCCCCCACTATAGCCAGCTGACCCTCCCCCTACTCCTGAGACCCTGTGACTACACAGCTCCAGACCATCCAGGGTCTATATCTCAGGGTCCTTCTCTCAGTCCCCCCCCAGAGTCCCTGTGTGAAGTGACACGCTCACAGGTTCTAGGGGCGAGGACGAGGACATCTTGGAGGGCCACTCCTCCGCCTATGAAGCCCCAGAAGGACACCTCCTGGAGTGGTTGGCTTGGGCACTTTGTGGTGTCCAGATTGCGGGGTCACGACCCTTGCTGCCCCCCCCCCCCCAGTCCCCTCTCCTCCAAATCCTGCTATCTTAGAAAGGTTTGGGCTGACCCAGGGCTGGCTGGGGAGGCTGCAGACAGAGCCCCTGGGGCCACTGCCAGCCACTTTCCTGGAACCTAGCCGGCTCTTCCTTGAGGCTGGGCAGGGCCCTGAGAGGCTGGTTCCTCTCTGGGTGTGTAGGACTCAGGTCCTGCTAGTGAGGTCGGTGCTCATGGGCTTCCTGTCTGCAGGCGTGTCCATGTGGGTTCTTGGACAGTGTGGCCTCACGAAGTCAGTCCTCAGCAGGGAGGAGCAGCTCCCAGAACTGGGGAGAGCCAGACTGTGACCCCAGAGGATGGCCTCATGGGGAACACACCCTCACGGGGGAACATGCCCCATCCCAGGCCTCTGGCTCAGGCCCACCTTCCTGGAAAAGCAGACCCGCCCTCCTGGGCTCCCCGGTGCCCCAGCTTTTTGGGATGGGTGGAAGGGGCTGCAGTTAATATGGAAAATGAATAGTTGCGCTCAGAACAGGCTCACCGGGAGAGTTGTGGAGCCCGCAGAGAGCGCTAATGTGCTGACACGTCATCGCTGCTAATCACTTAAAACGTGTGCCTTTGTTAGGGCCTTAATGAGAGCCACTTAAACTGTGCATTAAAAAGAGGAACTGCGGAGCAGCGGCCGGTGGCAGCGTCATAATTCTAATTGAAATGCTTTTAGTGTGGAATAGAAGCGCTGGGTCCACAGCCCCTCGGACTTTCCAGAACCTCACGTGGCGCCTTTGTGGCCAGGGCTGGCGGAGGCACCGGGGCCATACTCTCCCACCCGGGCACAGGCTCGTGCTCCTGCACACGCGTGTGCCCTTGTTCACCTGCCACCACGGGAGTCTGTGTCGGCCTGGGGCCCACGTGGGCTTCTGGAAGACTCCTCAGGCCGGCCTGGGCTCCTGCCCCACTGTAGGCGAGACACATCCTCGGCTGGTGTCGCCCACACAGCAGTGTGGCCCTACGGCCATGCCAGGAGTGTGGGGACAGGGCACAGGCACAGCCGGGGGAGGGAAGACCAGCCCTGGGTGGGCAGGCTGCCAGCCTCCGGCAGTTGGTACAGGCAGGGCCGTGTGCGTCCATCCCACCCGCTCGTGCCTGTGCCCTGTCCTGCTCCCGGGCCAGCCCCTGTCCACTGTCCTGTGCAGGGCAGGCGGTGGATCAGGGGATGCCAAAGGGCAGCTCCCACGGTGCTGGCCTCCTGGACCCTGACTGAGACTGCAAAGGAAGTCCCTTTGGCAGTGGGGAAGGTGGCGGGCTCCTCAGCCACCCTGTCCCCCAGTGAGGTGGGTGGGCCTCGCCAGCAGTGGTCAGGAACCAGGACTTGCCTCACTTTACCCACAAGAGGTGTCTCTGGCCTGAGCTGGGGCTGAGTGACGTGTGTTAGATCAGCGAACCCATGCCGCAGGACTTAAGCAAAGAATTGCACAGACATTAGATTGGAAAATATGGTTTATTTAGGAAGTAGATTGGAGAGAGAGAGAAGATTCACCTCCCCAGGTTGGGGGTGGGGCCAAAGCTTAAAGAGAAGCACAACTGGGCCAGAACTTAACGAAAGCATGGTGATGGCTTGAGGTTGACCGTCTTTTAAACCTTCCCTTAGTCGGGGGCAGGTCATTGAGGTGATTGGTGGTGGCCTGTTTTATGCCATCACGAAGGGGCTGGTGAGCACAGGTGCCGACGTCAGGGGATGGGCAGCAGGCTGAGGGGTGGGCTGGTCTCAGACTGTTGCCATGGTGATGGGTCTATGTCACGTGGGTCATGAAGGGCAGATCACAGTAGACTAGGTTAGCCTGGGTTTTCATGGCCGGAAGACAGAATACTTGGAATAGAAAGCCTAATTAATACAAAATAAGCTGGGGCAGGGTTGTAAAACAATGATCAGTCACTACCTGTGGGAAATCGACTCTGTCCTTTGCTAGTAGCTGGAGGGCAAGCAAGGTAATTTGCTGAGAAAGGACCACAGAGCTAGGCAGTGTCAAAATGGCTACACTCTAGCCAAAATTTCATCATTAAATTATCCCATTTCCGCGTTTCATTCTTTCGCATCCTTTCAATGCAGAAACACTCCGGCCAGCAGGAGGCCTTGGGGCAGGTGAGGTGGCTCTCCGCCATCCTGAGCGTACTTCTGAGGCCCTCCTGGACCACGCGCACAGAATGCACCCATGCATGACTTCTGGCCGCCTCTGACAGGGCGAGGTCGTGAGCCCCCGTCGGCAGGGGCTGGGCCCAGGCCATGCTGCCATTTCCTGGCGTCCGGGGCCAAGGGAAGGCCGGTTGGCGGCCAGGCCCTGTCTTCTCAGCTGTCAGTGGCGAGGGGGACCCTGTGGTGCCGCGTGTGGGACAAGCGTTTGGAGCAGGGCGTGGGGTGGGCCTGGCTCCCCGTGGCTGCAACGCCCCCCAGTCTTGAAGGCAGGGCCCACGGGGGGTGCCGCCTACCACGCACTGTCCATGGCTCGCCTGGTTCTTGCCGTCGGCCCTGAGGAAGTGGCCACACACGTCTCTTCTCCCCAGGCCAAGCTCACGTTGGCCGATGGCCGTCTAGACAGTGGCACGGTGGATTGTGTCCAGGGACTGGAGGGATATCTCTGCAGGGCCACGCCTGTGCCCTGTGGGCCCAAGTGTGCAGTGGGCGGGCCTGGTCACACAAGGAGCCCCAGCCCTTCCCATGTTGCCCAACCCCTGGGCAGATACACGTCCAGGCACTGCTCCATGTTCACTGAGGCTGGGTTGCCATCATTGTCACCCCGGCAGGGCACACACTGCCTGGATGGCCTGAGCACTCCTTTGCCTCCTGTGGGGGCTAGTGCCCGAGACCCCCACAGGTTCAGCCGGGCCCGAGCCCCGCGCCCACGTGCCCACTCTCCACTGGCCTGGCGGGTCTGTCACGCGACGTGTCTCTCCACCCTAGGCTTCTTCCCTGGGAGTTCGCAGGGCTGCGACGCCTTCCTGCGGCACAAGATGACCCTCATCTCGCCCATCATCCTGAAGAAGTACGGGATCCCCTTCAGCCGGGTGCGTACGGGGTGTGGTTCACACCTGTCTGTGGGAGGAGGGGCTGGGCCTGCCCAGGTGGCCACAAACTCCGCCGGAGTCAGACTCAATCCAAGCAAATTCTAGAACAACGGGGAGCCAAGGGAGGGCACAGTGGCTCCACGGTTAGCCTTGCAGTTAGCTCCCGCTCTTCTGTCGAGGTCGGTGTGGGGGTTTGTGAAGAGGGAGGGCCGAGCCAGTTGGGGTCTTGGCCAGACCCAAACCTCTGCCTGGCGAGGCCCTGTAGAAGGCCTGGAGGGGCAGGGGAGGCTCTGCCGAAGAGCTGAGGGCAGGGTGCCCTCCCGGGTGGGAACCTGGTTCCCGCTGTCCCAGGCCATGCCCGGGGCTCAGCCATCCTGTGGCCCCACCAGCTGGCCCTTGGGAGGACACATCCCTATAGAAACGAAACGTCCGACCTTCCCATGGAGAGAGTGAGCTCATGGGCTTCGAGCTCTAGAGGTGGCCTCCTGTCCCCGGGAGGCTGCAGGGATGCATCGGAGTGAGGCGTCAGCTTGCAGACCGGCCTGCTGGTCCCAAGGCGGCGGTGGGTGGAGAGGGCCTCCCTTCCCCTTGGACTTGCAGCCCAGGCAACCCCCTGGGACTCAGGGTGTCCTGGCCGGGAAGCAGGCCGTGCTCCCAGGCGCAGCTCAGCAAGCACGTCCATCCCAGGTGACACTTCCTACGGAGGGGCCTCCATGGACGGGAAGCCTGGCCTGTGCCCCCAGGTCGGTCCAGGCGAGGGGCACGGGCAGGAGCCTTCCGCGAGCCCGAGCAGATGCTGGACCACAGCACTGGGTGTGGGCGGGAAGGGGAAGCCTCTGGGGCGGCCGGCTTTGGAAGGTTTCCCGTGAAGACAGTTTGTCAGGCTCAGGAGCACATGCGTGACAACACCCCGCTCCACTCACGCGGAGTGTCAGCCAGTGGGAAACTGCTCCTGACGTTTCAATGCCCCGCCCGCGGGCGCCTCCGCCAGGCTGCCGAGCTCGTGGATGGGAGTCGCTCTGAGATGTGCAGTCCGGCTCCCCTCCCCGTCACGGGTGAGCGTCACTTGTCACCGGGAAGTGCAGGCAGGCCGGGTGCTGCGCGGGCGGACAGAGCCTCTGATCTTCCAGCTGGTTTGTCAAGAGCATTCTCGCAGCGCTGCTTCCCGGGGTGCCCTCGGAGGAGGCAGCTGGTGGGCGGGCCCTGATCCCGATGGTGTCTGCCTGGCACCGCGGCTCCCTGTCTCCAGGTCGGTGTCTGCGTGGCACTACAGTTCCCGGTCTCCTGGTCAGTGTCTACATGGTACCATGGTTCCCTGTCTCCTAGTTGGCATCTACCCAGCACCTTAGTTCTCTGTCTCCGGGTTGGCATTTACGCGGCACCATAGTTCCCTGTCTCCAGGTCGACGTCTATACAGTACCTCCATTCCCTGTCTGGGCCGGCATCTACACAGCACCATAGTTTCCTGTCTTCAGGTCAGCATCGACATAGCACTCAGTTCCCTGTCTCCGGGTCAGTGTCTACACAGCACCTCAGTTCCCTGTCTCCAGATCGGTGTCTATACAGCACCGTAGTTCCCTGTCTCCAGGTCGGCATCTACACGGCACCATAGTTCCCTATCTTTGGCTTGGCATCTACACAGCACCTCAGTTCCCTGTCTCCCGGGTCAGCGTCTACACAGCACCATAGTTCCCTCTCTCCTGAGTTAGCATCTACACAGTACTGCAGTTTGTGTACAAATTACCCTGAACCAGAAGGCAGCGTGTCTCCCCTTCGTCCCCCAGAGGGGCTGCGGGCCCTTTGTACCAGGCAGGGCAGCCACGCACCCTCATGCTCACGCCGGGATGGCTGGGGGCGGAGGCCCTCACCTGGCCAGGGGCTGTGTTCGGCCCCAGAAGCTACAGCTGTGAACGTTCCTCTGGGAGGTGGCACGGTGTCCTCATTGGAATGCCTGGCAGCCTTCACACACGCCACTCCGCACTCCACTTATAAATCTTCGTGATGGTATTTACTTCTCGGAGAAAAAGCAGATCGATGGCAGAGCTCCTCAATAATTAAAAGTGTGTGTTTCTGTAATCTGCCGTGGATGCTCGTTTATCCTGCAAGAGCTCGCAGGGGAAGCGGAACCCCGCTCTCCCCGTGACTGGCGTCGGGCCGCATCCTGGCTGCCCATCCATCATCCCTGATGCCTCCTGATCCGCCGGTGGGATGTTGATGGCTACGACACAGGGAACAGACGCCGTGGACCAAGACGGAGCCGCCAGGATACAGGCTTTCTTTCGGGAACGTGGTCTTCTTGTCCCGACTGGGTGCGCTTTCCACTCCGGGCCTGGGTCTGCAGGCGGCGTGGGGCCTGTGAGGGAGGCCCTGAGGTCTGCCCATGCCCAGCGTTGGCCACCCCCACACATCCACGGTTTCAGTCATGGCACCCGGGGCTCCGCCCGTGCCCTGAAGGCTGGCGTCTGACAGCTCCTGGCTGTGTCCCACTGCAGGCCGGGTTCTCCACCATGCCAGGGACGGGCCACGGCGGGGTCGGATCTGGGGAGAGACCACAAGTGTCTGCTTGGTGTTTGAGGACGCGTGAGGGAGTGCTTTCTAGGGTCAGCTCGGACAGGGTCAGAAAGTCAGAATTGCATTTGGAAAAAACCCCAAGCCTGAATTCTGTTCGCCCTCATCTCGGCGCTGTTCTGAGTGACGCAGGCAGAAGCCGGCCCAGGGAACCCATGCCTGGGCAGGGGCCGCGGGGCCTGGGGACCACATGCCTGCTTCCTCCCCTCCCCAGTTCCCTGCCGTGTGTGCTAGTCTGCTGTGTGCAGCTGTCACTCAGACGGGAACTTAAAAATATAACTTAATGCACACTGACTCCCCTTGATTGGTGCAATTAATTATCTGAAAAGAAAAATGCCATGGTGCTTGTGGGGACTGGCTTTCCTCCAGGCCGCGCTGGTTTTGATTGATCTTGACGACCTGGCTGGCTTCTGGAAGCCTCACCCCTGGCTCCCGCCACCCCCCGTCTGCCAGGGTCCCAACTTCTCGTGGGTTATTTCAGTGAATCCGGTGATTTCTGCTCCTCTCTCTGGGGGAATAAGTAATGATGAAAAGCCAGAGAATACATACCCACACATCAACAGTAAAAAAGACAAGGGACCTGGCAAACCGGGAGAGGCCTAGACAGACATGTGGACAGAGCATGTGATGACTCGACCGGCCCTAGTGTTGAGTGTCTGCAGGAGTCAGGTGGGTGATGGCCAGGATACCCGAAGGCCCTGCGCCATGGAGCGGGCCGGGCCAGCAGGAGGGAGCCCCAGAACACGCTCAGGCCAGTGGGATGCTGCGTGACAGAGGTCTGTGGCCCAGGAAAGCCATGTCTGCATATTTGCTCAGTAGGACTGGATGCACGTCCCTAGAAGATGTGTACATACACACTCGTGGCCGCTTTGTTCACAAGAGCCGGGGCTGGAGACAGTCAGTGTCCGTCAGCGGGAATACGAACACCTGTATGGCAGTGTCCGCACATAGCCAGGTGCCACGTGGCACTGAAAGGAATGAGCCCCGGTGCACACAGCACTTGGGCCAAGTTTCACAACAGGAGCGCGGTCTAGTCCTTCATGGTGTGGCAGACGACCTGGCGAGGCTGGTGGAGGGGTGCCATCTGCTCTGTTGGGGCAGTGGCCACGTGGGCGTGCGTGGGAGACAACCCACCACTGTGCCTCTAATGTCAGTTCAGCAAGGACAGAGCGCCCGCCCGGCTTCGGGGAGAGGCGCTTCCATGCCTGAGCTTCAGTTTTCACGTCTGTGAGTTGGGCGCATAGCCCCAGCCCAGGAGCACTGGTTGAGTCCCAGGCACAGCACATGGGAGTGGTTACCCAGCTAGAGGCCGGCAACCTCCTTGTCCTTGGGGTCCCGCCGCTGCTGCTGGTGACATTCACGTGACCCTGCCACATAGGACCGCATCCTGTGGCCATGAGCAAGGCCTGGCTAACCTTCAAAGCAGAGGCCTGTGTACCACGAAGGCCAGCAGGAGCCATGCCTCTGCCACAGTCTGTCGTCTCCAGCCGCGAGGCCTCTGGAGCATGTGGCTCTGGCCATCGCCTTGGGGTGCAGGGTGATGGACACGGGCGGCAGGGCTGTGGTCCGGCTGCTCACATGGCCAAGGCAAAGTGGGAGGGGCTGGGTCTGTGGAGTCGCCTAGAGCCACCTCTGGTGTGTAGCCTGGGGCTTGTCACGTTGCTTGCTGGCGCTGGCCGGGTGGCCTTGTCACCTGCTGCCCTCGCGGCCGTCCCCAGCCCTCACCCGCCCCCTCCCTCCCCAGATCACACAGGAGGCCGGGGAGTTCATGATCACGTTTCCCTACGGCTACCACGCCGGCTTCAACCATGGCTTCAACTGTGCCGAGTCCACCAACTTCGCCACCCTGCGGTGGATCGATTACGGCAAAGTGGCCACTCAGGTAAGAAAGAGGCTGCAGGCTGGGAGGGTCCCAGGTGGGGTGGCCCTTCCTTCCCCCATGGCCTCGTGCCCAGGGCTTGGCCGTTAACCTTGCACTCCTCCTGGCTGACTTGACCTGGTGTCTCTGGATCTTCTGAGCTAGGGCCTGGAGCACTCCTGCCGTGAAGGCTGGCGAGGAGATGGGCAGGGCATGGGAGGACAAGGTGGGTATGGGCAGGATGGGGTAGACGTGGCAAGGCAAGTGGCCTGTGGTGGCCCAGAGCCAGTCTCCAGCATGCTGAGTCCCATCTCCCTGGGGCAGTGGCCTGCACGGCCTCCTGCCTGGGCTAGCCACTCTGTCTTGGGACTGGGCTCTCCGTGGACAGCACCGTCTCCTCCCCCGACTGGCCCCTGGGCAGCTTCTGGGCCATCTGTGTGCTCGGCCTGGGTTGTTTGCTGACTCCCTCTCAAGGGCCTGATTGGCAGGAGCCCATCCAGGCATCTGCCTCCCGTCCTGGCCTCCCTGGCCCCTCCCCTGCTCTTTAGTGGGCTTCCTTCTGACTTCGCCTCCCCAGAGATTGCAGAAAGGCAGGAACTCTTTGATTTTTTTTCCTAATCATTTAACATTCCTGGCCCCAGAAGACTGATTATGGGCCAACAGATTTGACATCTGAGCTACTGCTTGTTTTCAGACCCTCCTAACTCTGCGTGCCCCCCCGTCTGCGTGGCTTTTAATGTGGGAGTCATGGGGGCCATGTGATGGGAGCCTGTGAGAGCCACTGGCACAGTGGGGTGCATCAGCCCACCACCTGCCCTGGCCTCTGCCTTATCCGGCCCCCTCCGTGGCCTCATGATGACGATGACAGGGTTGTGGGCAGGACTTGTGAACTGCCAGCTGGGAGGGGGGCTAGAGGAAGCAGACCCAGCCCTGCATGGCTGCATGCACGGGACGGGATTCCTCTCAGCATCACCCCTGCAGGCCACCCCCAGGGAGATGTGAGTCCCCTATAGTCTGGGCTGGCTGTGCAACCCCCAGGGTCCTTCTGGGCAGTATGGAGCAGCCTGGCCATCCCTGGCCCCACTCTCCTCCCCCCAGATGGGCCCGGCCATCCGTGGAGCTTCCCATCTAGCAGGTGGCATGGGGGGACCGTGTACGTCCTGCCGTCTCCCCAAAGGCAGGCCTTCCGGTTCCTCCAAGTCCGGGGTGGGCAGGTGGTTCCCAGATCCTGACCCAGGAAGTGTGACAGTGCTTGTAGACCAGCCTCGGTTCCTCCGATTATCTGGCATTTTCTAGACGTCAGGCCTTTACAAAAGAGGCCACAAGGCTGCACTGTAGCCCAGCAGCCACTGGGCCTTGCCATGTGGCCGGGGGCGGGGGGGCGGCCACGGGCGTCATCCACACCCACGAGCAGAGGACGCAGAACGTCCTGCAAGGGATGTGTGTCTGTGGGCTGTATACATGGGTGTTTTGGGATCTGTTGGGCTAAGCACAGTGTAAGATGAATTTCGCCCGTTTCTTTTCACTTTTTAGTGTGGTTTCAAGCAATGCAAACCCTGTAGGGACTGCGTTGTGTTTTAGGGGCCACGCTGGGCTTGGCGAATTGTGCTTTCTCTTTCCTGCTTGTTCCTCCGCCTTCGCATTGAGTGTAGCCTGGAGAGGACGTGGCCTGTGAGGCAGGAAGGTCTCAGAGGCCCTGGGGAGGCGCAAAACTGTGACTCTCGTGAGACTCAGCTCAGCCCAGGGAAGAGGGCGCAGGGCTGGGTCTCCTCCTCTGATCTGAGGCATCACAATGTGTCTTGGGCTATGGCGGTGCACTTGGGCGCCACCGGGACCCCGTGGCTGGAGGAAGCCACTGGCATCATGCCCAGCTGGGCCTATTAAGCTGTGAGCCCCGGCTGTGGGCTCTCCTGCAGGTGCTGTCAGGGCCCACCTGCAGCGGACGGCAGGGCTGCCCAAATCATAAAAGCAATTTGGGGTTCAGCCATGTGTTCACAAACAAGTGACATTTGGGAACTGTGGCCTTAGATGGAGCCTCTGCACCGACATCGTCGGGCAGCCTAGCGTGAAATTACTGAACAAGTGGCGCACGGCACACCAGGCTAAA